TTCCCTTCCAGGAACATGGCACTGTACACCTCTTACTTTAGTGTTCTTGTATCTACCCTAGTAAAGTTTTTCTTTCTACTCCCTTCCAAAAGCACCAGGTCAGGGTAGCTTCCCAATCAGGTATCACTGGTATTATTGGATCCTGTTTCAATGGAATTTGGAATCCAAAGGTCTCTAAGAGAAGATGATGGAGAGAGGTTAGGATTCAAGGTGAGGATGACAAGAATGTTTGTGCCTCTCCTTTGTGCTTGCTTAGAGGAAGGTTCTATAGAAAACTTCGAACACCAAATGATGGGAGGGGTCACAGACCCTGGGCAATTAGTTTTTATACAGACTCTATATAGTGTCTTGGCAGCATCACTAAAGATCATAGTTTGAACTCTGAACACTACTCTTAGAAATTGTCCATGGGAAGGGTCTGGCAACCTTCATTATTCAAATATCCCAAGTAAAGGAAGAAAGTTTGACCTTACACTTTTTTTTAAAGATTTTATTTATTTATTTATTTGAGAGAGAGAGAGAATGAGAGATAGAGAGCATGAGAGGGAAGAGTGTCAGAGGGAGAAGCAGACTCCCCGTCGAGCAAGGAGCCCGATGCGGGACTCGATCCCGGGACTCCAGGATCACGACCCGAGCCGAAGGCAGTCGCCTAACTGACTGAGCCACCCAGGCGCCCCTTACACTTTTTATTGAAACAAAATAAAACAAATAATGATGGAAAAAAAAAACCACACCCATTCTGAGAAACATGTCAAAGTTGTCTTTCGTATCATTGGTAAATTTGGGGATAATGCTTGCTTGTTTTCTGGGCATTGCTGGGTCCCTTCTATGGTCTTTCCAATTCCCCAGTGAAATATGGGCTGTGTGCCATGAAAAGATTCTAAGTGTCAGAAGATGATCCCTTCCATGGAGAATGTTGTGGAGAAGAAGAAGACAGCTGGAGATAATTCAGCTGTTCAGATGGGACATGATAGTATTATGGACTTGTTGGGGGTGGTGCTGATGGAGGGAAGGTCATGGAGTCTAGGTACATTTTGATGACAGAACCCCATAGGATTTGATCATGAGATTAGAGAGGTGGATGTGGAAGATGACTCCCAGGGTTCTGACAGAAGAAACTGGGTGATTGCTGAGAATTGAAGGCTGGGGTAAGAGACGTGAGGGCAGTGGGAATAGGGCTGGCCAGACTTGAATAGGTCCAGACTGTCTTGGCATTACGTGACACAAATCTGCTTCCTCCAACTCTCCCAAGTGAGGAAGTAGAGTCTTGCTTATGTATGAAAAGTGCAGGCATGGGGCTGGCTACAAGATCCGGGTGCCCCATGTTGACATTGGGAATCTCTCCTCTTTCCTCTCCCACCCCACTGTTCTGCTGATCCTCCCTCTTTTCCTCTTCTTCTTCTACCTCCCCTTCCTCCCCCTCTTCCTCCTTTTTCCTCTTTTCTCTTTTCTCTCTCTCTCTCTCTCTCATGTGTTTTCTCTGTGTTACCTTCCCCCTCAGGCATGTTTTCCCCAGATATGTGACAAAGTTGGTTCAGCCCTCTCAGGCTTAGATTCTACCAGTTTGCCAATCCTATTGGGGGAAATCTTTTTCCCCCCAAAAGCACGGACAACAATGTTGGATATGAATGTTTCTGACTGACTTTTGACCGAATACCTCTCTTATCCAAATCTGGTTCTGGGTAGACCAGTCATATGACTGAATCACATGGACGATGGAGCTGCAGGGATGGTTCTCCAAAGGAAAACCAGTGCCGTTACCAAAGCGAGAAATAGATTGGACAGGCAAATCACAGATGCCTGCCATTTGCCGATAGATAGGTGACCTTGTAATTTGTTGTCCAAAACATGGTTGGACATGAACGGGGTGCTATGGATAATTTTGCCAGGACAAAAGTGCAAACGGAGACTCTCCTGAGCAAATGGGGATACATGGTCACCTTGGCTACAGGACATCCTGGTAGAGATGCCGACTAGTGAATGCTGCTCAGATGAGAGGCCTGGATGGGACAGAGGATTTGGAGTAGTTGGCAAGAGCTGTCCTGATGTAAGAATAAGAAAAGACACCTGCTTGGAGTGGGTTGAAGATTGAAGAGAGGTGAGGAATTTGGGGCAGCGTGTGAGCACACCTCTCTTAAACCACACTGGGGAGAGAAGTAGAAGGGTAAGGGAAGAGCAGAAGCAAAATATTTGGTAGCAAGGAAGATGAATTTTAAGAATGGGAGACTGGTGGAGATTTTTGGAGGGAGAAATAGTAACCATTGAAGGAAGCCTTGAGAAGGCAGGGAGAGAAGGGATCCTTAGGAAGGAGGAGGGCCAGCTTCACACTTGGGAGCAAGGGAAGGGGGACAGGAGCAGGAGAGCTGGTAGAATCGGTGCTGGGCGGATGGAAAGCTCGTATGTAATGTTGTACATGTAGTACAAGACAAAACCACCTGCCAGACTGGAGTTTGAGGCCACAAGAGGGGTTGGGATAAGTCTCTGCGACAAGTGGGTTGGTGAGAAAAATATACTGAGATTGCTGTACAGCCACAGTGGAGGGCCCAGACAAGGCCAGCGGTGGATGAGAACAGTCCTTGGAGTTCTTCTCTGATGAAGACATCTAAGGAAGTGACAGTGACTCTGGTAAGGCTGGGGCAAATATGTTCGGCACATCCCCATAAGGATGGCCGAAGACCACTCCCTTCATTCTCCAGAATGCCAAAGCGGTCAGCACATTTTCCATCCCCACGATCTAAGACTGAGTCGGGACCAGATTTCTTGTAGTGTAATTCAACATGCCAAGTGGGCCAGCTCCATGGGCCTATTAAGTAAGGTGGCTTCACTCCTCAATGAATTTGCATGGAGGAGAAACATTTTGTAGAGCCACCTTTTCAGCGTTAGGAAGTTGCTGAAGTCAGGGGCAAGGTAGAATTTGCCATAATTCACACGTCCAGACCTTCTCCAGAGGTCTTCAGGCATACATTGGCATGGTTGACAGTTGCTCCTGGAAGCTCCCTGAAAACAGGAATGCTGGGGCGGGGAGGAGGGTGGTCACTGTGTGCCTCCAGGGCCTTGACACTCTGCCTGGCTCATAGAGGATGCTTAATATTTGTTGAATGAGTGGGGGCACTCCGGAGCCCGTTCTGAATGGACTGATGGGTCGAGATGTCCAGGCACCTTGAGCCTTTAGCCATACGTGGAAGTTGAAGCTTTTGTTTTCATCCTAGCTAGTAGTTTGCCGTTTAAGAAATTCATGTTGAGTGCTATCACCTCCAGCCTTTGAGCAGTGTCTTTTCTTGATTGACATTTGATGAATTAAACAAATGAAAGTGTTATAAAAGGAAATTGTGATGGAATCACTTTTTTTTTTTTTTTTTTTGCGTTAAAATAAAGGGATCTTTCTTCTATACCCGAACTACTTGCTGAGGCTGCTGAATAGCAACAACCTGATTTCATGTCTGGAGTGTTCTCGGGCCCTAAGGCCAGAGAATGAGAATCGCAGGTAGCATTGACCCACCACATCTGGCTTCTGTGAGGTCCCATCTGCTGCACAGGGACCTGCCTGACTAAAGCATAAGGGATCAGAGCCTAAAAGTCATGGATGGAGACATTCTCGGGGTGGTTGTCTCCACAACAAACGTCACTGGAAACTTCCCTTTCCCCCCTTCAGAATGCCAACGTGATTATGCATCGAGCTGTTGCTATTTACAGAGCTCTTAACACAGAGAGCATTACACAGCCAGTGACACAGAATTACAACCATCTAGACATATGGTTTGGATAAACAAAGCACAAAGCGCAAATTAACCATGGTTGACTATAACTCCCGCTCTCTACTCCCCAGGGAGGGACTTTAGTGAAACTCCCAGTCAGAGAAAGCAATACATATCAGAAAGTATAGTACATACGGCATGGTTTAGACAAATGCTAAGCCTTATTTAATGCTTTTCATGGTGCCAGAGCACAATGGCACCAACCTGTCTAGGAAAAGTTATAACTCTGTGCCAGTTTCCTGTAAATAGTAACTGTACTCCTACCGGATTCCATGCCTGTGTGCTCCAAGGCCAAAGAATGTCTTTCATTTGTCATCACCTAGCTTCCACTTCCCGTGTCCCCAAAGGGCTTGTTGCCTTATGCATCTGGATGTCAGACCTGCATGAAGTTGGACACAAGTAGCCTCCTCTGAGTAAATACCCTTCAGCTTCCACTGTGGTCCTTCCCCCTCACTGAGCCCCCCATGCTTGTCTGCAAAGAAGCATGCTTGGACAGTCAAGGCCTGAGCTCATCCAACCCCTTGGGTGCCATTAGGAGTGGGCTGATTCTGTTTTCTGGCAGTAAGGTATCCCCTCACTTCCCATATTTCATATTTCATGAGAAATTCTTCCGGGACAGGAAACTTTCTGTGTGAGGTCCTTGGCCTCATCATTGACACATGAACCTTATAAACTTTGTTTGACAATAAAGAGTATAATATTTGCTTTTCATAATACATCTACATCACTTTCCAAAGGAGAGAGCAAAATAAATAAATAACCAGAGTGAAAGGCTCCTACTTGGCTTGAACACTTGTACTGGAGTTTTTTATGAAGAAAAAATTCCACAAAACACTTGGCTAAATATACACCTACTTCCCCCCCACCCTCCTTTAGTAGATTTTCAGATGTAATTACACATTGAATTCTCTCTCACACACACACATGAACAGACACATGCACGTGCACAAACACGTTATAAAAATTAAAATTAAGGTTCTACCTCGGAGAAGATATGTACATGCGGGCCCAGAAACACAGCGGTCTCTACAGTGTCAGACAGACCTTAAAAGCTTAAGATCGTATTAGTTGATCAACCTTCAAGGCTTATCATTTTATTAGCTGACCCTAATATTTTAAGTATATACTGAGAACAAATTCTGCTCTGGGTGATGAGCAGCAGTTATCTCCTGGCTCAGATGTCCAAAGGGAGAGTGGTTTCCTAGAGCACAAGGGGCACTGAATCTCTTAAGTTTCTCTCAACAGAAAAATCGGATGTCAACTTCCAGAACAGCATGGTCATCTCAAGTCAAGTGCGTTCTGTGAGATCCATTCAAGTGGCCTTGACAGCTTTCTTCTTGTGAAGGCTGGGCAGGCAGCAGGACGCTCTCCCGCCCTGACTCCACACGGGTATTTATTGACATGTCTCCTCACTGTCATTTCCACATCTCATTTCCAGCCCTCTGAAGTGAATAAGGAAGACTACTGAATCACTCTGTGTCATGTTAATTTGGCCAAATAGAAATGGGGTAGGACAAGAGCCGAGATTCCCAGGGCAAAGCTAATGGACTTACCGAAGCCCCTTACCTAGACTCCATAATTCAAATCGACTCTATTCAATTTAGCAAATATTTTCTGATACCTCCTATGAAAGAAGCCCCTGTGCTGAGCCCTGTAGAAAATGTAGAAAAGGATCAATTTTCTCTCTTGATGTTCCAGTCTACAGGGGAAGATATTTAGGGGTGAAATAATCCTCCTAGCAGAAAGGCAGCACTGAGAGGGACAGGGGGACCTGAAGGAGGGACCAGTCAATTCTGATGAGCATTGGCGAGCAGAAAGGTGGGAACCTGGACATTCTTCCAGGACCTATCAGAGTTTTTTTTCCAAATCTAGAAAGATTATGGGGTGTGTACCAGGTCTTAATCTTACGTGTCTCTTTTCATTTCAAGAGTCAAATGAAAATACCTCAGAGCGTGTGAAGGATAACAGCTGGTCACATGTATTTGGCTAAGCCTAGCCCATTCCCATTGTGGGCTCCAATACACACTGGATGTGTTTCATTTTTCCTTTATGTAAAACAGATTACACTAGCCCATAAAGAGGGATTTTACATTTCGTCTTATGTGACGTTCATTAGTAACATGTTCCATATGTACTTACAGATGTACATTCAGGAAATTTGTGGGAAATCTCTCAGGGACTCAGAGAATTGCTGGGAAGGGTGAAGAACCTGACTCAAAATAGATTGGAATGGAGGGATATCCAGGATCCAGGCAAACTCGATTATAACACTATCAGGGCACCTTATCCTCTCTGGAATGCTGAACTCCAACCACCTTCCTGACCTCGTGTCACTGTTCTCCAGACTCAACGTTCTGGGGGGGAGAGAGGCTGATTGCCCTGGCTTGAGTCAAGGGGCCAATTCTCAGTACCTTGGTTTACAGTTTTAATAAGACCTAACACAGAAGGAAATCAAGATGCTTTTCTTGGAAGTAAGGTACAATGGCTGGGTGGCCACGGCACAATGAAGCCCACCATTTTTAGTGAAGCCAACAGTGTGTTAATGCCATGAGCAGGGAAGCAAAGGGATGCGCAGTTTAACGTTGGAGGGTAAATAACTCACCATAAAACAAGGAAGAAAGGCAAGTGCTACAGGATTGGGGAGATGAAGAAGTAGTTCCAAGGGAAATCAGAAGAAGGACTCTGGTTTCTGCCCCATGTACTCAGCTAAGCTCAGGATGAATAGATGGCGATGCAGTAGAAGGAACACAATGTGTATTGGAGGATCTCATAGGCTCAGCTGACCCAATGAGGGGATTCAGTTTAGCAACCAGTTTCACATAAAAAGAATTCCACATCCTTATTGGAATTATGACATCTGTTCCTGGTTGATTTTTATTTGAAGACACTTTACCACCCACTCCTTGATGATACGAAGTCTCAAAAAAAAAAAAAGTGTATCTGCACTCATACATGTTTCTGTTGAAAACCCTTTCCTAAATCTGCCAAAAGAATTCAGTGTCCATACCCTGAGTCTTCACTGCATCATATCCCTACTTCCAAGGCAACCCTGCCTATTAAATTAAAATTAGCTATGGTGGGGGTAGCCTGGATGGCTCAGTCAGTTGAGCAGCTGACTCTTGCTTTCAGCTCAGGTCATGGTTTCAGGGTTGTGGGATGGAGCCCTGCCTCACACTTCATGTTCAGTGAGGAGTCTGCTTGAGATTCTCTCTTTCCCTCTTCCTCTGTCCCTCCCCCAACTTGTATGTGCACAAGCTCTCTCTCTCTCATAGATAAATAAATAAATAAATAAATAAATAAATAAATAAATAAATAAAATCTTACAAAAAATTAGCGGTGGTACATGGTGTCTTGCCCTGTGCCTGGCATAGTCACTGATACTGAGTAGGCATGTGGGAAATGTTGAATGAATAAACATAGTTGAGTGTACAAGTCCCTCACATCTTCATCTTCTTACCACTGGGCATAATAAACATTCACAATTTGGCATTCTAACTAGTTTAGCATTTATGCTGTTCTTACATAACACCTTTTGGTGGATCTCCCTGTTGTTTTCTATAGTTGCTTCAAAGAGAAGTGCATGTTTTGGGCTTCATCGAACTTCTAGTACTAGAATTCCAAATCCATCCCCTCCTCTTCCTGGGCTCACAGCTAGACTACATTTCCCAGCTTCCTTTGCAGTTAGGTGTGGTCACGTGACTCAGTTTTAGCCAGTGGAAAGACAGAGGAAGTGGAGTGCACCACGCCCAAGACAGCCCATAAAAGCCTCCTACAGGACCATTCTCTTTTTCCTCATCTGCTAGCTGAACGGAGACGATGCTAAGACTCTAGTCACAAATTGTCATTAGTCACATGTGACTATTTGAATTTAAATTAATCAAAACTAAATAAAAATGAGGAACAAGGAAATATTGCAGTCCCATGTGCTCGGGACTGCGTCCCTTCCCAAAAACCAATGAACTGGAAAAAAAAAAGTGAATTCGTGGAACTAGAAGATCCCTAGTTCTGCCTTGTGCCTGGGCCTTGGATGGAACCCAAAAACAGAGAGGCAAAGAGACAGTGAGCGAACTTAGCTTCCCAGCTGACTTGGAACCTGCCTCACTTCACACCCGGTCTACCCTGGCACTTGCACTGAGGCTTCTTACCATCACGGAGTAGCTTTTAGATTCTAGATGGCTGGGGTTGAACCCTGCCTTAAGCGTTTCCTTGCTGTGTGATCATAGTCTTTTTATTTAATGTTTCTGGGCCTCAATTTCCTCTTTTTAAAATGGCAACTTATGCTTCTAAATTCACTAATCAGTTTCACAAAAACAACACATGTACATGGCAGAGTCGTGGTCTTAGATCTGTTTCTCCATTTTTATTTCATACAGGTATCTAGTTGTTCTAGAACTATTTTTTGAAAAGAAGATCTTTTCCAACATTGATTTACCTTGGCATTGGCACCTTTTTCAAAGATTAATTGACCATAAATATGTGAATTTACTTCTGGATTTGATTTCATTCTATTAATCTATTAGGCTCTTGGAATGCTAATACCACAGTCCTGACTACTTTAGCTATATTTAAATGCTATAAAATAAGTCTTGAAACCAGGTAACAGAGGCACTTCCAATGCTTTTCTTCTTTACAAAAATAATATAATTAAAAATTCAGTTCCACAGTCTCACCAGCCACATGTTCTTAGTGGCTACCATATTGGATAGGGAAGTATAGGACAGTTCCATCACCACAGAAAGATCTATCAGCTAGCGCTGCTCTAGAAGAGGTTAAAGTCCCAAGAGAGAAGGGGCTGAGTCCCTGAATAATGCATGCAGCAGATTCCTCACCCCCATTGCTTCCACAGATGGGATTTGATAAGAAAAAATAAATAAATTTCTGTTGTGTTGAGCCCTTTAGATTTAGGCTTATTATTCACAGCAGGTAGTGACCCTTTTTTTGATACAGACATCATGTGTTAATATACTGAATCATTTAGTCCACTTCTCTCTCAATAGACAATGGAGAACAAGTCCCCTTTGTAAAACTGCCTTGTCCACAAATAGAGAACCGATGAATTGTCAGGGTCCAGTCAGTAAACACTGATTCCACAGTGTGGAGAACAGTATCAAAGACTTTCTATCAGCTTCGATGAAATTTACTTAGAGACAGAAAATTAGCACATCTTGCTCTTTGATGCAGTCTTCTTGATGCACCAGCATGAACTATGCAGCTTCTGCATAGTCCTTATTTCATGTAAGGAGCTCCTGACATCTACAGTGCATAGGTGACTTTAAAATGAACTTAAAAATGAGCATTAAAAAAATCCTGCCAGATCACAATCCCAGTATCTCAGACAATGGGGGCTGAAATTCCCAATGGGCCGTGCAACATTATAAAGATAAAGTTACAACATGACACTCCCATTCTTAAAATCATTCTGTAGCATTCGTGTTGCACTTGGAATAAATTCATATCCTTTGGAATGGCCTTCAGGACCTTCATCAACTGGCCCTGCCCTTCCCTCTCACTTCATCTCTTAGCATTCTTTCCCTCACTTAGCTGGTCACCATGCTCTAGCCCCACAGGATTTCTTTCCATTCCTTTAAGATACCTCACTAGGTCGCACACTGTGTCTTACCCCATGTTGTTCCTCTGCCCAGAATACTCACCATCTTCTCTCCCTGGCCCTCAACCCCAGCCACACCTACAGATTTTCACATTCTGGATGCTTCTCAATCATATATGTCTCCGCTCAAATGTCATTTCCTCAGAAACCCCTTCTGATCACCTAAGCTACCACCCATTGCTCCGTACATCAGTGGCCCTTTAGCATGGTCTTTACGTCCCTCCTCTTGTACAAAATGGTACCCTCATGAGGCCCAGAGCCTCGCTTCTCTGGCTAGTGTGTTCATGGCTCTAGGCACAGTGGGCGGTGGAAAGCCCTGAAAGAGGTATTGAATAGATTTCCTGAATATTCCGGTATAGTATAGTCGATAACTTAAATATTTAAGAGTCATTTGGTGACCAGACATACATATTCCCATATAATGTGAATTATAATGAATTACATTTTAAGACTTTTCTTTGAGAATTTTATGGTTTTTCTCCGAAATTATTAGAGAATCTTCAGCAAATTAGCAACTTTTACTGTAGATTCTATAACCAGAAAAAAATGCATGACAATTGTGCAGTGTCTCTTGTGGGGGGAATATATGTACATATAGATATAGCAATATACGTGAGACAATCTTAAGACTATTCACTTGTGGGCTCCTGACTTTGGGGAGTAGCATCTTGTGAGTGTGACATGATGTACCTAAACTTTCAAAGGTGATTAATTGCTTTGTTGCAAAAATATTAATACAGCTTAATTATCTCATTGCTCCCTCTAATAAAGGTGTTTGGTTGATGCTGGAATTCCATCGGCTGATATTTCAGTTAGTTTTCAATTATTGACTCTGGGTGACACTGTCTCTGATATGAAGCCGGCAAATGTATAAAGCAGAATGCATGTTTTCTTCTCAGCTGCCCTCAGGATCATCCACTGACCCGAGCCCATCATGAATATTTTGCCCACACGGGGTTAGTTTATACAAAACAGTGGCATATTTTATCTTAGAATCTGTGGAAAAGATAGAAACATGTTAGAGTCTTTCCCATAAAGAGTTCTACTCATGTAAAAAAAAAATCCTTTCATTTTATGATTAAAACAATACAACTGTAACCAACTATCTTAAGAGTTTTCATTTTTGAAAGCTGGCAACTTTACTTCATTTCTGATATTTCTTGTATGCATGTATAACACTGATGTGTAAGGTAATTTGAGGGGTTACATCCACAGACACCTCTAATTTAATGGCAATGTCTTCATCGTATTCACTTATGGCCACAGCGTGTGGCAGATGATTCCTGTTTAGTAATAGAAATTTTCCTTTTTAAGTGAATTTGTTTAAGTTGAAATCTGACTCACACAAAAGAATTCATAAACGGTAGTACTGACATAACATGGACTCACTAATTCTAAATGTGGTATGCAATTGAGCAATGTTTGGGAAACTGCTTTGCCTATCAGACACTGATACCTGGCAAATGATAGAATTTCTTATTTTCCATACCAATGTTTGGTACCTGCCCATAGGTTTGCTCTAAAAAAAAAAAAAAAAAAAAAAAATCCCCTTCTGCTTGTGTTGCATGGAGACAACCATCCCCAGACAAAAAGGGGATGGTTCATGAATGATGGTACAATGCTGGAGTTTTGGGTAGGAGAGAAAGACAAGTCTTCAGGACACCCACGCCTGTCCCAGCAACGCTGGAGACCCAGGTGAAACAGCTTATCCAGTTGTGGGTGCGAAGTCACTTTCCTTTCCTTGGGCTGGAATAAAGAAAGCTCAGAATCATTAAAGATTCTGTTTCATAGAGCTCGATGTTCCCGCCTTCTTGGTGAGCTCTGCCACCTGCCCTCGGCGTACCTGCAGAGGAAAGGACACCGGAGAACAAAGGCAGTTCCTGGGGCCATGCCACCACCAGAGCTGACTCCTCTCAGCTGGTGTCACCGCGGCCGTTCGGACTCCGTGGCCTCCCAGCTCTGGAGTCACATCTGCTGAGAACTCAATGATCTGTCTTAACCACAGTGACTCATGGAGTCTCCAGTTACTCTGTGGCTGGAACCCATTTCCTTAACAGGAAGACATATTTTAAATGACGTGAGTGATGGAGAGCTCTCGGAGGGCTTGGAAAGATTTGGAACGACCAGTCAGGAGTTCCAAAACTTAGCCCAGTTGGTCCAAGCCCATCAGGATGGGTGTTCTCTGACCAGTGTCAAGAATCTCTCATTCAGGGGCGCCTGGGTGGCTCCGTCGTTAAGCGTCTGCCTTCGGCTCAGGTCGTGGTCCCAGGGTCCTGGGATTGAGCCCCGCATCGGGTTCCCTGCTCCTCCGGAAGCCTGCTTCTCCCTCTCCCACTCCCCCTGCTTGTGTTCCCTCTCTTGCTGTGTCTCTCTCTGTCAAATAAATAAATAAAATCTTTAAAAAAAAAAAAAGAATCTCTCATTCAGGGCTCTGCAGTGATTCCAAACACTGACACTCAGCACATGGCCATAATTCTAGGCTCAGGAAGGGAGAGTGAGGTGTGAAAAAGAGAGATGAAATAAGAAATATAATCACTCAGTAATTGTTTGCAATTCATAGACTTTTCTCGAACCCTCGGGGGAGGATCATTTAGCTCAACTCCAGGAACAATGGGGGCAAGGAAGGGCGAGCCCAGAGGCTCCCACAGGGTCTACCCTGTGCGCTTGCACATGTTCTTTTGATGTAGATTGCTTCTCTCCTAGGTGACTTTTTAAAACGTCCCACCAACTCCAGGTGTGTGGTAAGGAAGTGCTCTAAGATCTCACAGTTCCATCTCAAAAACATCCCATCTTATCTGTAGTTGTGTGCCCCCTCCCAAAATTAGAAGAGAAAGTTTGGAAGCTCTCTCAAGATTAAAAAAGAAAAAGAAATGTTTAAAAGCTTTGATCTACTGAGACCACTTGCATACTGCGCCCACCATGGATGTCTTTCTAAAACCTCAAAACTCCCCAGTCCGGAACAGAAACAATTGTTTTTCACTGGAACTATATCTTCTTTGAGTCTTCTGTTTCTGCCACTGGCCGCGTTGTCTCCCACGTGCTCAGAGACCTGTCCCCTCACCTCCCAGCTCATGCTTAGCCCCAAGTGCTGAATGAAATCTCATACTTCTCCTATCTGCTGGATCTGCCCTGCTGGCTCTGAGTCTGGCCCTGGCTGTGCTTGGCGACAGAATCTCTCTGCAATTTTCCCATGACTGCTGGCCACCGACGTGCTTGTCCGCTCCCCAGGACCCCATTCCACCTCCTTTTCCTTCCTTGGGATCCTTGCTCACGCTGGGTCCATGGGAGCTTAGGACACCCTTCCCCATCTCCCCACCTGCTCCTCTGGGGCCCTGCAGCCTTCCACCTGCTGGGTTCCAGGGGGTTGGTGTGACTGTCTGACTCCTGGCCAAATTTTTATTCTACTTCTGATGCAGTAAGTCTTACCCAGACTGTAAGTTCCCTGAGGGCTGGAAATACAGCTCCTACTCCTGCATCCGTCTGTCCTTCTAATATCCCCAGTGGCTTTGCATACACAATTACCTGTTGCATAAATGATGAATGATTGCTTCCGAGATAGATTCTTAAAGACGGGGCGGCGGGGGCGGGGGGGCGCACAAGCAGGAGCTGTCTGAAGAATGAATCCTTATTTTAGATCCTACTGAGTCTTTCCGTCAAGGACTCTTTGGACTATGAAAACAGGAACAATTATGGTGTAAATGGACTTTGAAAATAGCAATAATTAGGTAATTAAAAATGTACTTCAGTTTCATTATGGTGTCCATAAAATTCCACCATCGAAAAACAAACTATTTTAACATATTTTACTTAATATAATTCATGTAATTGTGATTTTTATGTTCCACCTAGTTATGCAATTAAGTAGTACATGGCTATTTCTTACAATTAAACATTGCTAAAATCTGCCGCCAGTTCGGAACACAGAGTATGATATATTTAACAACTTTTTATGCTAAACAGTAGACACAGTTAACATTATATTCATTTAATTCCATTTTAATTAGTTGAATAATAGTTTTAAATGTGAATTTAGGCCCAACTAGAATGGCATATTACTTAAGGTTGTTTTCTTTCAAATTACCTATCTGCAACTTGTTGATGTTTCCGCAGAGGAGAACGGCAGCGTGTGGGGGCGCGGGCATTGAGAAGAGTGCTGTAGGTTTCTTACTTCTCCCTCATCGGTTAGATCCATTCTCCTGACACCTTGATCCAGGAATGCCCTCCCCGTGGTTTAAGAGTACGCTTAACAACATTGAACTTAAATGTTTTCTCTTCAACAATCAACCCCAAGAACCTTCCAGAAAGTATTCCAAGACTGAGACATGGAGGAAGGAGGAAAGTCAGAGATTCCAGTGTCCATCTGCACCTCCTAATTTGGGTGGGCAGCTTGGACTTCTCCCACAAATGCTTTTGGCCCTCGCCCTAGGCACCAGCTCAGATCTCTGACTGCTTGTCTGCTCCCCAGGACCTTATTCCACCTTCTTTTCCTTCCTTGGGATCTTTGCTCACGCTGGGTCCATGGGAGCTTGGGGCGCCCTTCCCCACCTCCCCACCTGCTCCTCTGGGACCCTGCAGCCTTCTACCTGCTGGGTTCCTGGGGGGGTGGTGTGACTATCTGACTCCTGGCCGAGTTTTTATTCTGCTTCTGATGCAGTGGGTCTTACTCAGATTGTAAGTTGCCTGCTCCCCTTGTGGGTTTCTGGGCTGCCTTTTTCACACGCTCCTTTTCCACCCAGCCCTGCTGGTGCTGCGTGAGCCTAGCGCAGAGGGGCCCATCTATCTGGTGTCAGGGAGGGATTCCCTGAAGCAGTTGAGCTGAATTCCAAGGGATGGGTTGGGATTAAGCAGGAGAAGAGGGGCAACTATGAGATTTCCAGAAGGAAAAGATGGGCAAAGGCCCCTTGGTGACATTACATATAGGACTTTCCACCCCTGTTCTCCTTGAGGTTCATTCTAACCTGGCCTAAGCGTCCATAGCCCGGCCAGCCCTGTCCCTGTGGCCCTTGCACTTCTCTCCCTGGTGTGAGGCGTCCCTACGGCTAGATTTTCCCAGCCATCTCCTATTCTCTTCCTCTTGTCTCCTTTCCTTCGCTCTCCCCAACAACTGAGTGCTGCCGCTTACACAAAGTGTCCTTAAAAAGGCCTGTGTCCTGATGCTTACTCCAAAAGCAAGTCCCCACCTTCTCTCTAGGCCAGGCAGAATTTGCTTCAGGTGACTGTGGTTATCGGCCTGACTTCCCTCTCAATGTCCCCAGAAAGGAAGGCTGCACCGAGCCCACCCCACTCAGCACACCTTGGCTGGGATCCCGCTCCAGAGCGGGAGAAGGGTGTGGGGCTGGTGGGCTCTTGCTTTTTTTTTTTTTTTTTTTTTAAGATTTATTTATTTATTTTAGAGAGAGAGAGAGAAAGAGAGAGGGAGAGCCAGGGGAGGGGGCAGAGGGAGAGAGAGAGAGAATCTCAAGCCCCCCCCTTGGGGCTCAAACTTACCACCCTGAAATCATGACCTCAGCTAAAACCAAGAGTTGGCCGCTTAACTGACTGAACCACCCAGGTGCCTCGGTAGGCTCTTGATTTTGAGGAATCCATCACCTTGGAGTCCGGACAGCCCCCTGTTGTTCCTAAGTGGCACCGCCGTTCAGCCCCTGTGACCGACAAACACCGCTCCCGCTCCTCCTGCCCTTGAATTATCCCTGGCTCCCAGGCTCAGTCTCCATTACACCTACCTCACAGGGCACCTTCCTGCAGCTGCCTTCGACCCTCAGAATTCAATGAGATGAGATGTGGGAGGGCTTAACGACCAACAGGGTGATAGTAACAATAACTAATGCTTATTGAACACTTCCTCAGTACTTAGCACATTACATTAATCGTACAATTTAGTTCTCCAACACATGCAAATGTAGCTGCTCCCGGTACCCCGCTTTGGACGGGTTATGGGCTGGTCCAGTCATACAACCAAGAGCAAGAACCAGAATCAGAACCCAGCTCCCCCAGCCTCAGCTCCACCTGATT